TGTACACATGTGTATACTTGTTTATGTATGTGCTTGTGGGGATGTAAATGTCAAGCAAGTGTCCCACTACACATTGTTTCTGCTCAAGAAAAGACTGCCAAATGGGTAGTTTATACTGGAAACAGCTCCAGTATTTATATAACGATGTGTTGCATGGCCTTTTAATTTAGTTCTCATTCCAAATGCATGACACGTCCTTTTGACACCTTGAAGAAATGTTTCTCAGATGGCAAGCTGGGCACTGCCGCTCCAGGCTGCAAAAGGAAAACACACAGCCCTGAAAATTAAAAGTAATTTAGGTCCTCTCAGGAAATGCCTCGCTTCAGGCTACTTGATGTGGTCATTTATTAAGTGACTTAATCAGGAAAGTAACGTAATCTCAGAGTAATTAAGTCCCTTTCTGGGCACTGCTGGATCCTCCCAATGATGAAGGGGGTAAATGCATTCATAGTGGGACTATCAGAAGACAATTGATTCTTAGGGCTGAGGAATGGTTAGCTGTTCCACTTAGGGCATCTCTGTTGCCAAGAAATGTACCTTAAATCACTGACTTTGGGGAAACTTCCCTTTGACTGAATTCAAGCAGTTTTCAACAAGGTTTCACTTGCCCTGCAGTGGGATGAGTTAGGGTTGTCAAATCATAGCCCATTAGGATCTGGAGAATTTTTCAAAATTCTCCTGGCCCAAGCTCATCTCATCTTTCTGCCAAGGAAAGAGGAGGAATGGTAGTGTCTGAGGCTGTGTACCCTGTCTCTGCGGATCTGAGACCAGCACCCAGGTCTTCTTTCAAGCAGTTCAGGGTGCTTGGCTACACCAGAGGAGAAAGGGACTCTCAGACTCTGTTGGAATAGCAGAGCGTCCAGATAACCAGATGTGGGACTTCCTTGGCGGTCCAGAGGCAGATTCCCTGCTCCCAATTCAGGGAACCCAGGTTCGATCCCTGGTCAGGGAACTAGATCCCACATGCTGCAATTAAAGATCCCACATGTCACAACAAAGATTGAAGATCCTGGGTGTTTCAACTAAGATCCGGGGCAAACAACAAAGATCAAGATCCTGCAGGTTGAAACTAAGATCCCAGGCAACCAAATAAATGAATATTTTTTAAAACATGTAAATAAGGATTCATCTTTAACAACAACAACAACAAAAAAATCAGATGTGGCTCCAGTGATAAGCAGGGACAAAAGGACTCAATGTTCTAGGAGGAGAAACATCCTATGCAAAATGTGAACTGTTAAGTGAATGTTCAGGGGGCAAATTTTGTTCAAAAATATCTTTTGAGGACCTACTATGTGCCAGGAACCACTCTAGAAACCAGAAATATAGCCGAGAACACAATCTCTGGACTAATGAGGGGAGACGGGAGGAAGGCAGAGGATATGAGAATGAGTGGATAAATAAGTGGATGGATGAGTAATTATAGGATATATGGATAATTAGTCAATGGATGGATGTAAGGTTGCTACATTTAGAAAGATGTGTGTCTGCTAAGTTACTTCAGTCATGTCCGACTCTTTGCAACCCTATGGACTGTAGCCTGCCAGACTCTTCTGCCCATGAGATTCTCCAGGCAAGAATACTGGAGCGGGTTGCCATGCCCTCCTGCAGGGGATCTTCTCAACCCAGAGAGTGAACCCATGTCTCCTGTGTACCCTGCATTGGCAGGCAGATTCTTTACCACTAGCACCGCCTGGGAAGCCCCTTTTAGAAAGATCAGAGAGCCATAACTCAGGAATAAGTTAGGGCCTGGATGCAGAAACCTGGAGTCCTGCCCTTCTTGGCAAGCCTGCAACACAACCAGAATCAACTCTCCTGCTCAAAACAACTTCAGTGAATATCCAGTCCTCCCTCCCATACCCTATGCGGCTCCAATATTTGCCTTTCACTTGAATCCAGGTAAATCTTACCATAGTGCCCCTCACCACCACTAGTCAAAACCCCTCGTGCTCTGTGCTCAGGCTGACACCCCTCCCTAGCACGCTTTCATCTGTGCCTTTTGAGTCTTTGCCAACTCTCTACTCCTCCACTTAGCACACTCTGCTCCCCCCAGGCCTCTCATCCTGGCCTGCCTGGGCACACACCTAAACTCTTCTGGGAGGTCTGCTATACCTACTGGACCTGTCTTATCTCCCCCACACTCTGCTTCATTTTTAGTGCATCACAAATGGGAACTGTCTTCCCTATCAGAGTTCCCAAGAGAGAGCCTGTTGCTGAGCACACAAGACTTTAGGAATAACATAGACTCTAAAAGTAAATGGGAGGCAACCCCAGGACAAGTGCCTGCCTTGGCCTCACCCCTAGGAAACTCTGAAACCTGGGCTTTCCCCCTAGAACTGGTTCCATTAAGTCCCACCCACACCCACACCCTCTGCAGAGTTTTCCTGGAAGCAGTCCCTCAGAACCAAAACGGGGTTGAGGCCTACCTAGCTTTCTGGTCAGGGGTTAAGGAATAGGCCTCTTGGACTGTTTTATAACAAAAACTACTCTTCTGGTCTGGCCAGTGACTCAGCATCTTGGATCCCAAATGAAAAAAAAAAAAAATCTACTTTCAACCTGGCATGCAGGAAGGGCACAGGGTCCAGCTGACTTTGTGAAGCCACAGTGCCAGGCTCTGCATCCAGCCGTTTGAAATCCAGGCGCCTAAAGCTCAAAGGGCTCTGCCAACCTCCTAATTAGTCAGCAATGAGGAAAGAGCACCTCCTGTTGGTGGGTTTGGCCACCCCATTTTATAGATGGAAAGTTGAGGCCTAAACACACCAAAACTTGTTAAGTTTCCCCAGGTTGTTCCTCTTTCTCTCTGAACAAATGAAAGATGAAGAAGTAACTCTTCCTCAAAACTGCTGCAACTCTGTACTGAAAGGAGGATCCCTAAATATACATCCGTTTCACACGGGGCCAGTTTTTGTGTCTGTGGCATCTGGTGAGTAATACACATTCTTTCTCAGAATAATATTTTCTAACATAAAATACTCATGATTGCAAAGAAAACCAATCATATTGAAGTATAACTATAAAAATAATTTTTAAAGTGATAAAGTATGTGTGTCTTTATTAACATTTTTTCTTTCTTGGTTGCACTGGATCTTCATTCATTGCTGCTAAGGCTTTCTCTAGTTGCAGCAGGCAGGCCCACTCTGCATTGCACTGGCTTATTGCAGGGGCTGCTCCTGTTGCAAAACACAGGATCTAGGCGCAGAGACTTCAGTAGTTGCAGCACGCAGACTGAGTAGTTATAGCTCACGGGCTTAGTTGATTCATGGAATGTGGGATCTTCCTGAACTAAGAATCGAACCCATGTACCTCCATTGGCAGGCAGATTCTTATTCACCCTACCACCAGAGAAGTCCTGAAACATTTTAAATTACAAGATCTAGCAGTGGGTCTGATCAGTACCATAATTCCAAAGTATTGATGAGCATAAGTATTTCAAGGTCCCTGGCAAAGGAAATGGCAACCCACTCCAGTAGTCTTGCCTGGAGAACCCCATGGACAAAGAAGCCTGGCAGGCTACAGTCCATGGGGTCGCAAAGAGTTGGACACAACTGAAGCAACTTAGCATGCACACACACACCAACTGTGACAGAAAAATATCTGCGTTTTCTGCCAGTGAAGAAGTCATGGGATTTGCTATATGACACAGGGAGCTCCACCCAGCGCTCTGTGACAAGAGATGGACGGAATGGGGTGGGAGGTGGGAGGGAGGTTCAGGAGGGAGGGGACACATGTATCCCTATGGCCGATTCCTACTGACATTGGGCAGAAACCAATACAACATTGTAAAGCAATTATCCTTCAATTAAAAATAAATGAATTAAAAAGTCACCGGTATTGCCTAGTACTGCCATTGTTGATGCCTGCATTCTTGGAGGAGTTGCTAAACGTTGGCTGGAGGTTAGTCAAAATTAAGATGCAATTTTTTTCCCAGCCAACTTCACAAACACCTTGAATGCTGTCCCCTGGACCCATTAGTTCGAATTTTCACAAACTGACTACTTAAAAGACGGGATCGTACGCAAAAGTCTGACACCATCATCCCAAACTTAAGTGCTCAACCCACTTCCACACACTCAAGAAAATCTGTCCTGAACTGAATCAGGTACTTCTCAGCCGTCCCACCATGTGCGGGGGAGTGGGTAGCACAGCGTGCCTGTTCTTACCTCTCAAAGCTCCGGTGCTTCCTGGTTTGTTACTGATACCTGTTTAGTCGCTCAGTCTGTCTGACTCTGCGACCAGATGGACTGGAGCCTGCCAGGTTCCTCTGTCCATGGGATTCTCCAGGCAACAACAATGGAGTGGGTTGCCATTCCCTTCTACAGGGGAATCTTCCTGACCCAGGGATCGAACCCGCGTCTCCTGCATTGGCAGGAAGATTCTTTTACCACTGACCCACCAGGAAAGCCCTGGGCTCTTCCTAGAGGGGCTTTATTTTCATTAGACTATGTTTGGAAGCAGCTGGGAGTGTTAGATAACAGGCACCCTGACTGCTGAGGGGGAGACCTTTGCGGCAGGAAACGATCAAGAACAGTTCATCCTTAAGAAAATATCCTCCCTCCGACATCAGCCAGCTCAGGAGACTCGGGAGGGGGGCAGTCGGAAATGAATCTCCATTCCAGAGAGAGCCAGTTCTTTCAATGAGACGCTTTCCCTCCTGCCCCCGCCATCGCTGAAATAAAATACCAGCAAGGTGTGGCACTGGCTCGTCCTTGCTTCCCAGCTCAGGTTGCCACTGGGACCCGCCGGGAGGAAGGGCGGAGGGACGGGGGAGGGGAGCGTCCCCTTGCACAGCGCTCAGTAGTGCGGGCGTCGATTAACCCGCCTGGCATCCAGGCCGGTTCTCAAATCCCCTTCCTCCCTTTGGTTCCTGCCAAATCGTGGACAGTGCATCAACATTAAGGAACAGGTATGTTACTCAGAGTAGTAACAGGACATAGTGACATGCCCAGACTGCAAGACTGCAAGCAAACTTTGGTTCAACCTACTCCTCTGCTTGCTTCACTAATTGAACCTTCCGCGCATCACAAGTACAGCACTTTATCATCTGTAAGATGGGCCTATTGAAAGTATTCACCTCATAGGAGTTGTCGGGGAAGTCAATGAAATCTTGCTTGTAAAGCCCTTGGCTTCCTGTCTGCACATAAGAGCATTCAAGAAAATATAGCTATTATTGTTGAATTAATAAAAACCATTTTGTAGCTTATTTGGGGACAAGGCACCTTGTTAGATGTTGGACTATGCCCATGACCACGCATGGGCAAGTGCTACTGGGAGAAATTCTTCAACCCAGTTCACTCTGAACTGTTATGAGGGGGATATTGGTGTGGGAGGAAATTGCCCATATTTACTAAAGGCTGAAAACAGTACTTGCCCTTGATGAGAAGGAGACCTCTTCTCACGTGCCATGTGATGGAGCAAGTGAGTGCAAAGATTCTTCCACTCTTTTGCTTGTCAGGCTGAGGGCTGCTTTGAAGGGAGAGGAAAGCTTTGTCCTTGACCCCAAAGGGGTGCTATTAATAGAAACTCCAAGGAAGCACAAGGCCTCCCAGGGTTGGCTGTGCCCCAGCAGCTGCCCTTCCCCCGCACACACCACAGATTCAGGCATGAGTGCAGGACAGTGACATCCTGCAACAGAACGCCACCTTTTGTGGGTATGTGCATATAAGCGTGTCCTTGGAGAGAGGACTTTCCTCACATTTCCAGTGGGGTCTCTGACCCCCAAAGTTGAGAACCATTGCTCCTCAAATTAGTTTTGTCCCATTCTGCATGATTCTCAGACTACAGTGTGAGCACCAACTCCCTTTCTGCAAGATGACTGCATTTGCCATCCATGGCTGTCACTTGATAGGGCCATGTAAAATTGAAGAATTTTATTGTACAAAATATGTAGAATTCTGTATTTTTCTACATATTTTGACTTTTCCCAGAAATCCCACTCTTGCTTTGGAGAGCTGGAGGGATATAGGTGATGAATATAAACGCTTTGAGGCCTTCCTAGCTAAGGTGGGTCAGGAAGACAGCATTCATCCAAGCAGTGAGCCCTGTGCTCACCCAAGGAGACTTTGAGTTCATCACACTCATGCCCCTCTCTCCATCCTAATTCTCTCTGATGTTCAAAGTCCAAATCAAGATGATCTTTTCAAAGAAGCCTTCCTTTTCCAGCCAGTCTCGCAGTATTTCTTCCATCTTGACCTCCTCGCCCCAGTCATACTGATAAGTAGTGGTGTGTGGTCTTGTTATCTCCTACTCCATACAGATTGGTTCTGTTGCCCAACCCATCTATAAACTTCTAGAAGGCAGAACAGTTTTGCTTTTCTTTTCTCCCCCTCACAGAGCCTAGCACAGAGTTGGACATGGAGTAGAAGCCCTTTTATTAATAATACTCCTTAGATCTGATACTTGAGGAAAAGAAGTATATTTGTTACATTGACTAGAATGGAATGAGATTGAACTGAACTGAGTCGCTGGTCAGCATTTTCAGTATTGATATAGGTGACATTTGACTTTCTGGAAACATCTCAGATTAAATATAAATTAGAAAAAAAAAATCCCAGTAGAAACTATGGATTCTTTAAGCCTGGCCCCATCTCCAGCCATGTGCTAACTATCCACAAAGTTTATAATGCATTGAGTGTACAAATTTTTCTAATTAAGAATGCTTGCTATTTAGAAGGAGAAAAGCTCAGTAACTAAATGTAATTATATTTTCTAGTTTCAACTCCTACCCCTCTATTGAGGTCTCTATCCCCTAAAAACTCCAAATCATGAACCAACTCTCATGATAGTCTGGTTTGAGGGTGACCTTGAGATATAAACTGCATTGAGAGTGAGATGGTCCACATGGTTTCAAGAATTATTTCCTCATGTGAGCATGAATGTGTGTATTCATCATTTCCCATGAATATATGTGTGTTCTGTGTGTCCATATGTGTATCTATAGGTATTGGCCTAAATATACATTTGTTTATATGTATGTGCATACTCCTGTTTGAGTCTGTGTGTGTGTGTATGTGTGTGTGTGTAAATTCCTCCACATACCCTTTGAACAAAGACCCTAAATTAAACTCCTGCTAAGGCTACAAAATATATTGCTGAATAACCTTTGTGGGTTTAATTTAAGCCTTTCCCATGAGGAAATCTCATTTTATAAAATGTTCATGGACTTCACAATCTGAATCTGCTCTCTATGTTTATCTCAAACTCAGTGCTTTTTTTCCCGGGTCTGCTCCAGTCCTAGCCCTGGCTCCCACCGTTCCCCTTTTCTCATAACCTCAGTTGAATACAAGGAACACTCACCCACTCCTATTTCACTTGTATCCACATTACATTATTTTGTTTACTCTAAGCATTAAGGTGTTATTTGAAATTACATATTTTTGCCTGAATGTTCTATGTAGAAAGTTACAGTGCATATTTTTTGAGGAGGAAATATGTCAGCTGGTAGTACCAATCTACTGAGAATCAGGAGCTCCAATGCCCCTGTAATTATTCATCAGAGGCTGAAAGCAGGAGAGAGGAGGAGTTATGAGTTGCACAGCCATGGGTGGAGATGACTACCTGTTGGTTTCATAGCTCATCACAGACCCAACCATGAAAAGACCTGAACTTCTAGGGTCAATGCTGGAGGACTGTGTCCAGTGTGACTAGGAATATGTGTTCAACAGCATGTGATTTCCTGTGCCTGGACACCTCCACGGACATGAACGTGTGTGTGTGTGTGTGTGCGCGCGTGCAGGTGCATGGGCACATGTGTGACGGGCAACACCCAATGACCTCTGTTTTCAAACACACCAAAAGGCCAGATGCTTTGGGACTTCAGCCTACATAGATTAACTATGGAGCAGACTCAGCTTATGGAATCTAAAATTGAGAGTCATGTGCAGTAAGAAGTTCAAAAGAGCACCTTCAAGAACCCAGATCATGTCAGCTCTAATAGGGGGTCTGCCACTGATTTGTAAATGCGTCACTATACATCCATCTGCTGGGACAGGGTGAAGGGTCCTTTAGATGTTGTATGGGATAGACTAGACTTTAAAAAGGAAAGGGTGTGATGGGAACAGAGGGCAGAAGCTGACTACGGAAGATATGGTTGTACCTGCAGCCCAATGTCCACTTTGCAAGCTCTTCCTAGGCAGCATTAATTCTGGCCAAATAAACTTGCAACAATATCAAAACTTTACCAAACATGGTAGATTGCAGGCCACCTGTGACCCTGCTTCAGGGTGGGCTCTGTTCCATCTTCTTTTTCATCTCATGACATGGGCTGGAGCTGCACCTATCTGGGGTACAAGGGCAAAAGAAGAAAGAGTCCTGGTGCCACCCTGCCATATTTCTAGAAGCATCTGCTCATCTACTTTCATCAGTCCAAGCCTGTCTTATGGCCAAGCCCAGGGTCAATAAGGTATAAGCAGGTGGTGATGGGTGTCTACCAGAGAAGTGGAAGAGTGGGTAGAAATCACTCCAGATGGCTGAAATCTTGAGAAAGAGTTGGATAACATGGAAAATAAGCTAATACATGCGAAGACTGATGACAAAGGGCCTCTGAAGCCATGCTAAGGAGTCTACATTTCATCATGAGGTTAATGGGTGCCATTAGAGGAATTTAAACATGAGAATAGGACAGTCATATCTGGACTCTAATCTGGAAGCTCTGACTGATTTATGATGGATGGACTGGGGAAGGCACCACATTGGGGAGTGGGGAGAAGGGGGAAGCAAAGGAACTAATCTGTTTAATGCCTCCATGTAGCAGGCCCTAGACATGGGCATTCCATTGCAAACTAGAGCAGTAGCCCTCCAAGCACTTCATTCTCCCAAGGCATGGCTCACAGTCCTGGGGGACTGGGCATGGTGCCATATAGCCCTGCCCAGGCACCCACCCATCCACCCAGCATCCCTGACTGGAGTGGGAATCACTGGACCGAAGACAAGCCTATAAGATTCTCTCTCTCTCTCTCTCTCTCTCTCTCTCTCTCTCTCTCTCTCTTTCTCTCTCTCAAGAATTAGGAACAGAGGCAGAGATCTTGGAGTGCCTCCTGAATGCCCAAAGAGGGGAACACATGAAAAGGTAGGGAAGTATTAAAAGGAGAAGAAACAGAGAAAGCTGCTCTTCCCAGAGAGAAAAAAGATTCTCAGACAGAAGTAGAGAAAGGAGACCCTTCTGCCACCCAGAGGGAGGAAAAGTGTTGCCTTGATAGCTATTTTCCAGTTTCTGGTTCCACCCCGCTTAAGGCCAGTGGTGTTCCCTGCCCTTCAATCCATGTGAGCGCCCTGAATCCTTGTAAGAAATTCATTCTTTTGTTTCTTCTGTTGGTCTGAGCGGATTTCTGAGCTTGTGCTCAGCCCAGGCACACTGGAAGCCATGAGTACACACCAGAATTTACCAGCTTGGGGCTAAGACTATCACTGTACAGTTTGCCCTGGTCACAGCGGTCCCCTACTCTGCAGAGGCTTCAGGGAGCAAAGGCCACAAACCCCAGGGTCTGGAGGCTGAAACCTGAGGCAGGCAGAGCTGGCTTCTAGAGCTTAGACCCATCTTACTGACACCTACAGGGAACTCTAGCCTCTGAGAGCTGGAAATGCCTGGGGAACCTGAGTTCAGAGAGAAAAAGGCTTGGGGGTAAGAGAGGAGAGTTTGATGAAAAAGCACGCAGTCATACAGGTCAGAGCATAGACTCTGCAGACAAACAGCCTGGATTCAAGAACTCAGCTCTGCCATAGCTGCTGGACTTGGACTTAATGTCTCTGAGCCTCAGTATCACCACCTACAAAATGGAGCAGGTAATTATGCCTGGCTTGTGGAGGTGTTTTGAGATGATGTGAGCTAGCACAATGCTTCCTAATATTACTTTTACTATTGAAAAGGAACTAATGGCAGCAAGGCTTATGGCTTTATGGATTTTGGTCTTAAGAACTGAAATTGCAGAGGCTCCTTATCAGCTGTATGACCTTGGTCAATTTGCTTAACCTCTGAACTATCTCCTCCTTTGAAAATGCTAATACTACCCAGTATATAGGATTATGGTACCCACTCTGCATTAGTATACTGTTTTTGATATAGAAGATACTCTACCCATCAAAGACATTAGAACAGGTACTCCTGGCTGTCTCTCTCAAGGAGCATGGGGCTGACAAGGAAGGAGTTAGAGAGAGGAGGGGAGTTGCTTTGTTTACTCTAGGTAACATATACACAGTTCACACCCACCCAAGGAGCTTTCATTGTGAGTTCTTGCTTTGCACTCAAGGCTGAGAACAAACACAACAGGGGGAGAAGCCTCAGTCCCAACCCCAAAGGAACATGCAATGTCACACCCTTATGCAGCTATCTTTTCTTTGAGAACTGTCTTAATGAGACAAAAACCCTGGGAATGCCATAAGATAATGCAAAATATTATGGCAGCTGAAGTTCTCTTGTTCCTCTCTGAACCAAGACCCAGTCTTTTCACATGCTTAGCTCATTTCCTTTTCCCCAACCCTTGGGAGCAAAGTAAAAGTGTTTGTTACGCCTACTTTTTATTTCCGCTAGACTGGGAAACTGACTCCATAACACTGTACAGCTTACCCTTGGTCACACTGTTACTTAGTGGCAGAGGCAGGATTTAACCCAGATAGCCTGACCCCAAAGCCCACACTCTCCAAGGCTGCCATGGATGGTGAACTGCTGACACCAAGGGAGTTGCACATGTACAAGCTCCTGTCTTTCCAACTGCTCCAGAACCTCCCGTCACACACCTGAGCACTTCCCATGATGCCTAGCCCAGGTCTGGGAAATGAGGGGGGCTTGATAACACTCGTCATGTTGAAATTAAATCTGCCTTTAGACACTTAAGTCAGATGCTTTCTGGAAGCACACTGAACATATGCAATTGCGTAAACACACCATCCTATCATCCCAATGACAACAGCCTCAATTATTGAGCACCTACTTTCAACCAGGTGTTCACAAACTTTTATCTCCAGTCCCCAGTGCAACTATATTCAATAAGCAAATGGTGAATGCTTTTTGTGTGCCAAGCACTGGTTGTTATCCTCAAAGGCAAAATAAGGCCCCAAGATTGAGTGACTTACTAAAATGGCAAGTCTGGACCAAGGACCCAGGCCTGTATGCTGCCAAAGCCCATGTCCTCTGCCCCAACAGCCTACCTTCCCCCATATGAGAGCATTTACTAACAGTGCAACTGTATTAGAATGGGTGGAACAAAGATGGTAATTTCCAGAAGGCCAACCACACCTGTCATCCCCAAACAGAATGCTACAGTGCTACCACAGGACATCTATTACAGGCTGACATTGACCTGGTCCCTCTGCAGTGGTCTCGTGCACCGGTTTCCCTGAGCTACGTGCCATCCCTGGTAGGGCTATATCTTGTTTCTACCTACTTTATTAAAGCATTCTCACAGTACTGTGCATAAATTAATTAGCACACATTCTTCTAAAAGAAACAGCCCCTGGATTTTAGCCTTAATTCACAGAGACAACAAAATACAGTATTGGATTTCCAAGTTAAGAACAATCTTGGCTTTTTCCAGGTTCCCTTTTCAAACGCATACTTACTGGAAAGCCCTGTGTGGCTGCCTTCAATGGTGGGGTGGGAGTGCCCTCTGGCCCAGGCATAGCTAGCCAAGTCAGGAGAGCCAAGAGCAGTCACCAGCCAGGGGAAGGGGGTATCACTGATGAGTGGGGCTGATGCATTGTAATTAATGGTAATAAAAATAGATACTGCAGGAGAGAGAAGTGCCAAGCCAGGAATCCCTACTCTCGGATAGAATTTCTCACAGGTAATGGAAAGAAGAAAGAAAAAAAAAAAAGTCACTTCTAACAGGAAACCTGATATACACGTTGCCTACAGAGGATTTTTGTAAAGTAACTAAGGAAATGCAACTAAAGAAGCAGCCCCACAAAAATGAGAATAGCTCAACTTGAAAAACTCTCCTACAGCCCAAGGGAACCTGGTACTGCTACAGGCAATTAGATCTTGAACTCCTAAGAGCACAGCGTTGCGTCTGTAGCTTCTAGGTAGCCCTTGGGAGGCTTCAGCACCCAGGACTTCTGGCTGGAGAACGCCATGAGTCTTCCCCTGCAAAGGAGGGAGGGAAAGAAGCAGGCTGGAAGCAAAGCCCGGGAGGAAAGAGGAAGAAGAGGGCCATTTTCTTATTGACCTGGTACTTCCCAGTTGTTGCTGACACTCTAATCCCATTGGTCATTCAGGCATCCGTTCGAACATCTCCTGGACGCCCACTGTGTGCCAGGCAGATCCAGAGTCTCCAGGGGGCACATGCGACGGTGAAAAGCCAGTGACGGTCCCTCAAGGATCATGCGGTCAAATCCTGGCAACTCAGTGCGCCCCGGGACGGGTGTGTGTCAGTCTCCGAGGGAGCGCGCTGCACGGACGCGCCCCACATCTCGTGCCCTGTCTGCCCGCGCGACCGGCCGGTTAGTGCGGAGGTGGTGAGCAGGAAGGAACCGGCAGCCCTCCCCCGGCTGGGCTAGAGGCCTACGGGAAACCGCGCACCGACCCACCGACCCACCGACCCACCGACCCACCGACCCACCGACCGGGACTCTGGGACCTCCCGCGTGGGGGCGCTCGCAGGCAGAGCCGGCGGCAAGGCAGGGCCGGGTGCGCGGGCCCTCCGCGGTTCCGCGGAAGAAAGCCGGCGGCGGACTTCCGCGGCTTCTTAACCCGAAGCCTAGAACCTGGCCCCCTCACCTGGATGCCCGACGCTCCGCGCCCCGCAACCCCTTCCTAGGCAAAGGGTCCCGCTGCCCCTGCCAGCCTGGGAGGGAGCGCCGCGCGGGTAGGAAAGGCTCCGGGACCGAGCCGGGACCGTGGGCGGAGACGGAAAACCCCGAGCCGGGCCAAGCGTCGTAGGCAGGCTGGCTGCGCCCGGAACCTGGGGACCCGTCTCAAGTCCCACTCGGCCCTGGCGCCACCCCGGGCCGATTCCCCGGGTTTGCCGGCCTCCAGACCAGCCCCGAGTTCTAAGTTCTCGCTCTTTTCGTTTGAGCAAGATCCCCTGTGAGCCCGCGGCCTCCAAACCGTTTGCTCGAGAGGGCGCTCCAGGCCGCCGCGTGGGTTCGGAGCAGGGCGGAGGGGCAGCGGCGGCCCCCGCGGGATCCTGTTGCTCTGGCCCTGGGAGCCCCGGGCCGGGCCAGCCACGTGCGGTGCAGGCGACGCCCAGATTCGCGCTGTTTCGCGAGAGCGGCCACCCGGAGCCCAGTGCCCTGCTTCCGCACCCGGGCTCGGGGCGCCGCGGCAACCGTCTTCAAAAACGGAGAATTCCTGCGAGCGGAATTCCCGGGCCCTGACCTGCCCCAAACGTCGGCCAAAACAGAAAATAGTGGGGTGCGGCGGGGCGTGGAGGGGGTTTGGTTGTAGAGGGCAGGCGGAGGCGAGGCGATGCGAGCCCGCTTTCAACGAAACGAGAGCGAGGCCCAAGCAGGAGGCCAGGTCTCGGCGAGCGTGCGCGGGAACGGGGCTTTGCCGCCGCGGCCCGCCCACCCCTGCTTCCCCAGCCCCAACCCCAGCCCCGACGCCCCAGAGATTCAGAACCTCCGGGAAGGCCTGAGGCGGGCGACGCAAGGGCCCCTGTCTGCCCAGCGGATTTCTGCAGTCTGTATAGGCTGGAAAAATAGAGAAAAGTTCTGGTCCTCTGGTTTGGCACCGAACCCCTGCCCCTTCTCTGCTGGTCGTTGGAAATAGCCAGCTAGCATTTCCGTCTCCTTAGCACCCCCTTCCTTCCGAAAAGCTCCAACTCAAAGTGAGGGGAGCCGTTGGGAGGCTGATTCCTATGCTTTCTCCCTTTCTCCAAAAGTCCCAGGACTGGGCCATGCGCCACCCCTGGGATGGGCAATGGGTGCCATCTGTGGGTGCCCAGACCCAGACTGTCCCTGACCAAGAGTCAGGGCAGAGGCATTTGGTCAGTGTGGGCTCATTAAAGAACACCCATCCATACCTGCTGCTGCCTTCCCGAAAGTCTATCCCAGGGGATTTCCCAGCCTACTTGGAGGTGAAAGAGACATTTCAACAAGACCCAAATTTCCAGAGGTCTACAAGTTTTCTCCTCTGCGCCCACGGAGCGTCTCCGATTTGTGCAGGACTCTCAAGTGCCTCTTAGGGGAGGAACACATTGCATATTTCATAGATTTCTTGGATTGGTTGGAGGGGGCGGCAGGGGAGGTAGACCCAAGGCATCTGGCACCCTCGGGCTCTCCAGTGGCTGCTCTGAGCACTGGAACCTGGGACTGAGATTGCCTTAGGGTCAGGCTGGCATCTATCAAGTCCTGGAGGACCCAAACACCTGCCAGTTGCTCTATCCTGTGGGCAAAGGCTGGCAGGGAGGGATGCAGTGTAAAGAGGCCCTAGCTGACCTCAGTAGCCTTTTTAAGGGCAGGCACTCAAGTGCCGCTGTTAGCAAGAGGTTTTAGCCCAGACCTACTAGAACCAGTTTCCTACAAATACAAAGAAAGGGAGAGTGGCATATGGACATACATGCGTGCATTGGGTAATGGTGATACAAGATTTCTGTGCTTACTCTTTTCATATGACACACACTATTTGTCCAAGATGGCAGGTGCCACGGGTATACTCCTGCTAGGTCTGACTCTTGGGCTCAGCACCCAGAGGCCACGGAGAGATCAACACTAGAAGGGGCAGGAAGTCTGAAGCTCCAGAAAATCTGCCTTAGCTGAACATGGGCAGGACCCAGTTCCAAAGGAAGTTCAATCTTGCAGCTCCAAGGGGCCACTGAGGGGCATATTCCCAGTAGAAGCTGTGGCTGAGGGTGCAGTTTACTCACCTTTTCAAGGTTAGTATTCTTAGACTCACTCCAGCAACAGGGACCTGACAGATCACACAGGCCTCACCTAGTAGTGGAGAGAGTGAGGTGGAGCAGGCTATAAAGTGGCCCAGAGTCTCATGCCAGGATGTCACTGCCCAGTCCCACCCGCTTGCACCAGACCAGGTTGCTCCCCCACAGCTACAGCCTGATCGTGCCAAGATGTAAGGCAGCCCATGGCCAGAGCTGGGACCTGCCTACCAGTTGTTAACCCTGTGACTGAGAAAGGGGTCTTGGAAAGAGTAGGTTGCCCTTTCTTGGGATCAGTAAGGTGGGCTGTGAACCTCAGTGCAGCCAGGGATATGTATTTCCCCATGTTTTCCAGAGTCCTCTAAGCCCGACTCTGAGGTGAACTCTGTGTGGCAGCACACAAGATCCTGGATAAAGTGGCCTGGACACAGCAGGGCTCCTCCCAGCAGACAGATGCAGGCTCTGAACATGCCACCTGAACTTTTGCAGGGAGCTGTTCCTGCCACTGGTTTGGAACATACTTTGATAACCCTGTGGTCTCAGGACACCTGGACAAGCCCCCAGAGGCAAAAGTCTTAGGGAGACTTGGGTTCCACTCTTTCATGCCTGCAAGTTCCCCAGAGGACTGCTAGAACACTAGAGTAGGGAACTTTGGGAAATGTTGCTAAGGGTTAGACGAATAAATAGGTGCCTTGCTCAAAAACACCAAGCAAAGTCAAAACCTGAACCAGGGGTTCTGGACCCCCCATTCCAGTGTTCCTAGCACCAACCTCCGAGTAAATTTAAAGGGGTAGGAACCGAGAAGCGTAACCGAGACATAGACTGCACAGTCCTAAACTGAATGCCGAGGTCAGGCTGTTTTGGTTTGGGTCGTCCTGGCACTGGGATCCAGCGAGACTCCGGCTTCCAGGCGAAGCGGGGGTGGCAAGGACCACTCAGTGAAGGATCTAACCCCGGGGCTTTTCAAAACCGTAGGAACAGCCACAACACCCCCCTCTTCCACTCCAGCTCTTCCATCTACTTGCCTGCCCTTCTCGCAGAGAACCAGCAGCACGTGTTTACATACGCGTCCTGACAAAGAAGTAAAAAAGCAAGATTCCCTTTTTAAGCCCCTCATTCCGGAGCTCAGCGACCCGGTTCTCCTGTTGGAGTTGGCCAGAGCCGAGTCGGAGTTGAGAGGCCAGAAGTTGGGGGATCTTGCCTCCACTCGATCCTCCCCGACCACCCACAGGGGAAACGCCAAGAATTCAAGATTCCCTGCCCTCTCCTTCCCGTGGGCAGACCACCGGCGCTGCCCACCGGAGTTAACTTCCGTAGAGGCCGCACGGAAGTGCCAGGCGCATTTCGGGAGGTGGGACCCGTGGGGTTAAGTCTGTGTCCCCGCCCAGCGAGAAGCAGAGAGCGCTCAGCGGGGCGGTACCGGCCGTGGGGCAGCCGGCCCGGTTAGGAGACGAAGGAAAGGCGGGATCCTCCAAGAAGTAGATTGTCAGGCGTCTGCCTGTGGCCACTGCCAAAATTTCCCCACTTCTCTCTCTTACTCCCTCCCCCTTTCCCTCGCAGACCATTCGGGTCCTGAGCGCCTAGGATGGGGGTGGAGCACTGTCAGCAGGAAAGATCAAATCTTTGAGGGGCGCCCGAGAGCATCCAAACTATTCCACCCCACTGGTCGGCTCCTGGGCACAATCCACCCGGCAAACAGCGGCCCCAGGAGCGGCGTGATGACCCAGGGGGTCATCCGGAGAGGCCCTGCGAAAAGCTGCCCAAAGTTTCTTCCCCCTCGTGGCTCCCTCCTCCCCTCTCCCTCTCCTTCTTCCCGGCACCCCCTTAAACAGTCCTCCGCCTTCTCTTCTCCCCTCTTCCCTCCCCACCATGGTCCTCCCCTTTTCTCCGCGCGTCTCCACTCCGCCCCCCCACCCCCACCCCGATCCAGCACCTTCCTTGCTCTTTGGGCGTCCGCCCCGTCAATCACCGCCGCCGCCAGCCCCAGCCCGGCCCTCACCTCCTCCCGGGCTCTTGGAGAGCCTCCGGCTCCTGTCTCGGGCCGCCCTCCGCTCTGCGCGGAGCCGGGCGATCTGTCAGCGGAGCCGGCCGGGGGGAGCCGCCTGGCCCGCCGGGGCTCGGGTTACCAGTGACTGACAGCGTCTCCATGGCGAATAATTTGACTCCGACTATTGTCTGGCGCGGGCAGGCCCCGGGTCAGATAACCAGACCAATCAGGGCTCGGGCCGCAGCGCCTCATGCCCGCTTAGAATAATATTATTAAAAAAGCAGCGAGCAAGCTAGACGGGAGGGAGAGAGCGAGAAGCGAACGAGGGAGCGGCGGGCGGGCGGGAGGGCGCGGAGCATGCGGAGCGGCGCCGCGGGCGGCCCCCGGGCTTGGACGAGGGCGCTGGCGAGGCGCGCGGCCGGCGGGGGCGCGGAGCGGCGCGGGATCCACGGCCCGCGCGGGGACGAACTGCAGTGACTCCGAGTTCGCCGGGAGCCAGCGCCAGGCCAGGGGCCCCCAGTCCGCCTCTTGGCTCAGGACGGTCCGGCGGGGAGGCGCCCATGCCGGACCGCGCGGCGCGCTGAGGGCGCGCGGGCGGGCGCGGGAGCAGCCGGCAACATGTCCATGCTACCCACCTTCGGCTTCACGCAGGAGCAAGTGGCGTGCGTGTGCGAGGTGCTGCAGCAGGGCGGCAACATCGAGCGGCTGGGCCGCTTCCTGTGGTCGCTGCCCGCTTGCGAGCACCTCCACAAGAATGAAAGCGTGCTCAAGGCCAAGGCGGTGGTGGCCTTCCACCGCGGCAACTTCCGCGAGCTCTACAAGATCCTGGAGAGCCACCAGTTCTCGCCGCACAACCACGCCAAGCTGCAGCAACTGTGGCTCAAGGCACACTACATCGAGGCGGAGAAGCTGCGCGGCCGGCCCCTGGGCGCCGTGGGCAAGTACCGCGTGCGCCGCAAGTTTCCACTGCCGCGCTCCATCTGGGACGGCGAGGAGACCAGCTA